CCCACTGGGGCCTTCGGTGGAGCTCCCTATGGGGCCACGAAACGCTGCCCTGGGTGGGGGAACCGCATGCGAACACCCCCACTGGGGCCTTCGGTGGAGCTCCCTATGGGGCCACGAAACGCTGCCCTGGGTGGGGGAACCGCATGCGAACACCCCCACTGGGGCCTTCGGTGGAGCTCCCTATGGGGCTACGAAACGCTGCCCTGGGTGGGGGAACCGCATGCGAACACCCCCACTGGGGCCTTCGGTGGAGCTCCCTATGGGGCCACGAAACGCTGCCCTGGGTGGGGGAACCGCATGCGAACACCCCCACTGGGGCCTTCGGTGGAGCTCCCTATGGGGCTACGAAACGCTGCCCTGGGTGGGGGAACCGCATGCGAACACCCCCACTGGGGCCTTCGGTGGAGCTCCCTATGGGGCCACGAAACGCTGCCCTGGGTGGGGGAACCGCATGCGAACACCCCCACTGGGGCCTTCGGTGGAGCTCCCTATGGGGCTACGAAACGCTGCCCTGGGTGGGGGAACCGCATGCGAACACCCCCACTGGGGCCTTCGGTGGAGCTCCCTATGGGGCCACGAAACGCTGCCCTGGGTGGGGGAACCGCATGCGAACACCCCCACTGGGGCCTTCGGTGGAGCTCCCTATGGGGCTACGAAACGCTGCCCTGGGTGGGGGAACCGCATGCGAACACCCCCACTGGGGCCTTCGGTGGAGCTCCCTATGGGGCCACGAAACGCTGCCCTGGGTGGGGGAACCGCATGCGAACACCCCCACTGGGGCCTTCGGTGGAGCTCCCTATGGGGCTACGAAACGCTGCCCTGGGTGGGGGAACCGCATGCGAACACCCCCACTGGGGCCTTCGGTGGAGCTCCCTATGGGGCCACGAAACGCTGCCCTGGGTGGGGGAACCGCATGCGAACACCCCCACTGGGGCCTTCGGTGGAGCTCCCTATGGGGCCACGAAACGCTGCCCTGGGTGGGGGAACCGCATGCGAACACCCCCACTGGGGCCTTCGGTGGAGCTCCCTATGGGGCTACGAAACGCTGCCCTGGGTGGGGGAACCGCATGCGAACACCCCCACTGGGGCCTTCGGTGGAGCTCCCTATGGGGCCACGAAACGCTGCCCTGGGTGGGGGAACCGCATGCGAACACCCCCACTGGGGCCTTCGGTGGAGCTCCCTATGGGGCTACGAAACGCTGCCCTGGGTGGGGGAACCGCATGCGAACACCCCCACTGGGGCCTTCGGTGGAGCTCCCTATGGGGCCACGAAACGCTGCCCTGGGTGGGGGAACCGCATGCGAACACCCCCACTGGGGCCTTCGGTGGAGCTCCCTATGGGGCTACGAAACGCTGCCCTGGGTGGGGGAACCGCATGCGAACACCCCCACTGGGGCCTTCGGTGGAGCTCCCTATGGGGCCACGAAACGCTGCCCTGGGTGGGGGAACCGCATGCGAACACCCCCACTGGGGCCTTCGGTGGAGCTCCCTATGGGGCCACGAAACGCTGCCCTGGGTGGGGGAACCGCATGCGAACACCCCCACTGGGGCCTTCGGTGGAGCTCCCTATGGGGCTACGAAACGCTGCCCTGGGTGGGGGAACCGCATGCGAACACCCCCACTGGGGCCTTCGGTGGAGCTCCCTATGGGGCTACGAAGCGCTGCCCTGGGTGGGGGAACCGCATGCGAACACCTGGAGGGCGGGGGCGAGGAGGAGGAGAAACGCGGGGACCGTCTCTTCAAAACGAGGACCCAACAACACAGGTTGGTTGGGGGAAAAAAAAAAACGAAAGAGAGCAAGATATCGAGAGAAAGAGAGAGAGAGAGAGAGAGAGACTCAAAAATAAGGAACCACTGGTTGTACCGCCAAAACTGGGCCCGCATGGTACAGTTAGGCCGATGCCACAAGGAACGCCAACACGAGGAACGAGGCCCATGCGAGGCTCCAAAAATCGCCTGGGCGCACGAGAGAAACCAACCATCAAAGGACCCAAGAAACAGCGAGCGGCGCGTGGGGCGCATGGGAAGCGGGGTTCTCCTCCGCCTCCCCCCCCCGCGACCCATGCCCGAAGACTCATCCTCCTAAGCCTCCTCCTATTCCTGCTACGCGGGCTCAACTTCACCCCCTAAGACTGTAACCGTCACCGAGTTGTTTCCGTCGCAGCGCTGCGGAGACGATCCGCACGCGCGCTCGAGTTAGCTGGGAGAGGGCGGACCCCCCCTTCGCCGAACACGCGGCGACAAGGAAGAGCAGCGCGACGAACCAATAGCCGAACGCAACCACGCCGGCCCCCCAGCAGCAGTCACGCAAGAGTGACCCTGGGCAAGAGTGTGCTTTGGTGCGCGGCTTCTTTGGGGCCGCGGGGGGGACCAAACACAAGCGCGCAAGACGCTACCATCGCATCAAATTAAACCATCTGGGGGTCTAGATGGGCCCGCACCGAAAGTCACTCTGGCGAAAGGTTACGCTTACTCCGTATGGCCGAAACAAGCTGCCCTGCGACCCATCAACTGGTCAGCTGCCCCCCACCAGCCGGCGCGCGGATCCAAAACTGCCGCGCGAGACGGCGCGACGGAACGCCGTCGCTGAGTTCGGCGCCCTCTCTTGGGACGCACAAGGACATTCTAGTACTATGTGTCCCCTGGGGGCGTGCGTCCGCCACGAACATATGGTACTAAAATAGTATAACACATGGTTACCCGCGCGGCATGGCCAAAAAGCGCCCGCCACGGAACTTCTATTAGAACATTTCTCGGCGCGCGCGTCGCCCATGGGAGGGGGAGAGGGAAACGCACACATAGTAGAAGTATGCTAAGGCGACGCCGATCCACACTGATCCTCCTGAGCCGATGCGGCTCTCTCATCGAATCTTGTTCCGGAGGCTTTCAGACGGATTGAGCCTCATCCGCCCTTTCCTTCCTTCTCGCTAGGATCCCTCCTCCTCCTCCTCCTCCTCCTCCTCGTCCTCGTCCTCGTCCTCCCCCTTCCTCCGTCCTAGGCGCCCTCCCTAATCTTCATCCCCATCCCCCCTCCCTCCTCCTGATTGATTCCTCCTCCTGGCTCTAACCATCCTGGCTGAAGGCTCAGCAAGCATAGTGATCCACCCAGCAAGCATACCATCGCACTGTCTCGCCTTCTCCCGCCTCGACGATCTCGTGCCGGCTGCCCCCAGCGCTCCGAGCGCATGGCCTGCTCAGAGGGAGCGACGCCAGGCGGCCGTGGCAGGGGGCATGAACAACATCAACGAGCGATTGACACAGATGGAAGTCTCGATCCAGAGTCTTACAGACAAGCTCCGCAGCGTCAGCGCTGTACTCAAGGAGGGCGCCGCAAGCGACAAGCGTTATGCGCACAACCACGAGCTGCAAGAGGTTGGCGAGTTGGCCCGCAACTTCGGAGTAAAGATAAAGCGGATGGAGATGTTACTGTTCTGGGCGCCCTTCGCCGAAGTCAAGGAGATCGATGTGAAAATCGCGTCCCTCAACGACTTCGAGGCGGACGACCAGAAAATCACGAGCAGCCTTGAGCCCCGAAGCGCCGCCCGAAAAGATACTCAATGGGGAACCTGTCGATCCTTCCACAAATTCTTCACCTATACCGAGTGCTTGCATCCCAAGCGTTTGCTAGACATCTACGAAGATGGGGCAGATCCAGCGATGACTCTGGGATGCCCGACGCCAGCAGCATGGAGAAGATCGACCCGACGGAATACAACAATGCAGACTCCAACGGCCTTCTAGCACGAAGAACAAAATGGAAGACCAAAAGATGGAGGAGATGCCGGAAGTGCCGTCCTGGTTCAAGGCGGCCGAGACCAGTCCAACGCGCAGGTCAGCAAGATGAGCAAGTCCATTAACGAAATCACGGATAAACACGACCAGAAGATCAGCGAGCCGATCTCCGACTCCTGTCCTATCCTGCGTCCACCCAATGAGCGCCAGGCCGGCTGGCTAGTCGAATACACTTAGGCCCGGTTCTCTCGGGGATCTTCTGACCCGGGTCAATCCAGAACCAAGTCAGCAGGAAACCAAAAACTGCAATGCAGAAAAAAAACTGCAACGCAAGACTTCGCAAACCCGGGTCAGCCAATATGCGCGGCCGCCCCGCGGCCACGAGCGGCTCGCTCATCCGGGTCAGCCAGAGGGGGTCTGCGCAGGATCATGCAGGATCCGGTGCCCTGGCTGACCCCCATCTGCATTGACCCCCGTCTCAAGGCTCCCGATTCTCTAGTTTGCCCGAAACGCCGGGGCCTGGCCTTCTAGTCGGCAACTGATCTTTCGCAGCTGTGTCCCGACTTGCCACTGAATCGTTATTTTCCGTATCGAAGCTGCGGCCTCCACCGTCAAGCCCTAACGGGCGCGCGCGGACGCCAACGCGGCACACGCGCGGATCCGGCGCTCGTTCATTCCCGTTCCTCCTCCTGACTCCTCATCCCCCTGAGCCTCCTCCTCTGGCGCCGAACGGTTCCTCATTTTAGCGTTTGGCCCGCCCCGCGCGCGGCCGCCCCCCGACGCCGCGATATGGGGGCGTGGGCGGCGTCCGAAGGAGGAGGCGGAGGAGAGAAGCAGGGGGAGGCGGGGGCGGCGAAGAGGAAGGCTGTGGAGAAGAAGGATGGGGGAGGGGGAACCAGGAGTGAGTGGGAGGGGAAGCGATAGGAGAGGAAGGGGGAAGAAGGAGTGAGGAAGGCGGGGGAATGAGGAGGAGGAGGAGGAATGTCCTCCTCCTCCTCCTGAGAATGGAAATGGGAATGAGACGAATGACGATGTCGTCTCCAAGTTCAACTCCGCGGGATTGCAAGCGAATGCCCCTGACCAAAGCCTCTGGAAAAGAAGAGGTGCGCTTTCAGCTTCCGAGAGCAAAGGACCTCACTGCAAGGGAGTGTCGCACGCTGAGGATGGTCGCCTCAAGAGGTACTCTTAAACAACACGCGCGGATGATGAGGAGAAGGAGGATAGTAAGGAGGAGGGAGGAAGGAGGAAGAAGGGAGACCCGCCCCGTCCTCGGGCACCTCCACCCTGGCCAGGCAGGACTGCACCAAGGGCCACAGCTCGCACCTCCGCCGCGCATCGGCGGGGGGCGCGAGCCGAAAGGAGGGGCGCATCGAGGCACATGGATAGGAGTAAGGGAAGGGTCCTCCTCCTCCTCCTCCTCCTCCTCCTCTTCCGCCTCCTCCTCATCCTCCCCCGTCCTGCCCTCCTCCTCATTCTTCTCTTCCTCCTCGTCATGCCTCCTTCTGCGCCTCCTCTTCCTCCTGCCCGCGTTCCACCTATTCCTCCTCATCACCCTCCTCCTCCTCCTCCACCTCCTCCTCCTATGCATCTTCCCCTCGCATTCCTCCTCCTCCTCCTCATCCTCCTCATCCTCCTCCTCATCCTCATCCTCATCCTCATCCTCATCCTCATCATCCTCATCCTCATCCTCATCCTCATCCTCATCCTCATCCTCATCCTCATCCTCATCCTCATCCTCATCATCCTCATCCTCATCCTCCTCATCTCATCTCATCCTCATCCTCATCTCATCTCATCATCATCACCATCACCATCATCATCATCATCATCATCATCATCATCATCATCATCATCATCATCATCATCATCATCATCATCCTCATCTCATCCTCATCCTCATCATCCTCATCCTCATATCATCCTCATCATCATCCTCATCACCATCACCATCATCATCATCATCATCATCATCATCATCATCATCATCATCATCATCATCATCATCATCATCATCATCAGCATCATCATCATCATCATCATCATCCCCCTCTTCCTCCTCCTCCTCCTCCTCGTACTCTTCGTGCTCCAGCTCCTGCTCCTGCTCCTGCTCCTCCCTCTCCATGTCCTACTCCCTACGATCCCCCCTTCCTCCGCTCCCTCCCATTATTCCTCCTCCTCCTCCTCCTCCTATTCCTCCTCTTACTGCGCCCCCCTGCCTGTCCTCCTCATCATCATGCCCCTCTCCTCGTCCTTGTCCTCGACCTCGTCCTCGCCCTCGTCCTCGTCCTCCTCCTCCTCCTCCTCCTCCTCCTCCTCCTCCTCCTCCTCCCCCTCCTCCTTCGTTATCCCTTGATTTCCTCCGTCTCCTCCTCCTCTTTCTTCCTCCTCCTCCTCCAATGTCCTCCTTTCCTCCTCCTCCTCCGTCTCCTCCTCCTCCTCCTCCTTCTCCTCCACCTCCTCCTCCTCCTCCATCTTGATCCTCCTCCTCCACTCACTATTCCATTACATCCCTCCTCCTCCTCCTCCTCCTCATCCCGCTTGTCCTAACCCTACTCCTGCTCATACGACTGCCCCTCCTCCTCCACCTCCTCCTCTTCATCCTCCTCTTCCTCCAACTCCTCCTCCTCATCATCATCAGCAGCATCATCATCAGTATCAATATCATCAACATCACCAACACCACCACCACCGACATCGTGATAAGAGGTGATGGGGGGGAGAGGGGAGGGGGAACCAACATCTGACTCAATCGATCTCACTACCGATCTCACTCAACGGGACACCACGGGACACCAAGGGACACCACGGGACACCACGGGACACCAAGGGACACCTCTCGATCTCACGATCGGTCTCGCTAACGATCTCACTATCGATCTTACTCAACGGGCCACCATAAGACACCACGGGACACCACGACCACGGGACACCTAGGGACACCACATCGATCTCACGATCGATCTCACTATCGATCTCACTCAACGGGACACCACGGGACACCACGGGACACCTGTTGATCTCACTATCGATCTCACTTTTTAGGACACCACGGGACGCCTCGGGGCACCACATCGATATCAATATCGATCTCACTATCGACCTCACTCAATGGGACACCACGGAACACCACGGGACACCACGGGATCTCACTATCGATCTCACTATCGATCTCACGTTTCGGGACTCCACGGGACACCTCGGGGCACCACATCGATCTCAATATCGATCTCACTCAACGGGACACCACGGGACACCACGGGACACCACGGGACACCACGGGAAACCACGGGACATCGCGGGACACCGCGAGCCACCGCCGGACGGACGGAGGAGAAACATTTGTCTTGAGTTCGCCCTAGCAACGGCGGACACCACTGGACACCACGGAACACCACGAGACACCGCGGGACAACGCTAGGGCCACCGCCGGACGGACGGACGGAGGAGAAACATCTGTCTTGAGTTCGCCCTGGCAACGGCGGACACCACGGGACACCACGGGACACCACGGGACACTGCGGGACACCGCTAGGGCCACCGCCGGACGGACGGACGAAGGATAAACATGTGTCTTGACTTCGCTCTGGCAACGGCAGGTTCATTCCTCTCGCGCGCCCACGCAGCTTCGCCTCGCCCGCACGCACGACACGAACGAAACGAAACGACTTCCCGGTTGGAAGTCTCCGTTCCACTGCTATCTCACCACCCAACCTCCGATCATCCGCATCATCAGCATCAGCATCAGCATCAGCATCAGCATCATCAACATCGCATCATCGGCATCATCATCAACATTTCAATCATGATCAGCCTCACCACCATAAGCAGCAGTAGCATTATCAAAACAATCAGCATCAGTATCAGCCTCAGCAGCATCATCATCAACATCAGCATCATGATCATCATCGTCATCATCATCGTCCACATCACCATCATGCAAATCATTAACATCAACATCATCACCAGGAGCATCACCATCGCCATCATCGTTATCACCCCCCGACAAAATCATCATCATCATCATCAGCATCGGCTTCACCATCATCGTCATCATCATAAGCATCATCGCCAGCATAATCATCATAGGCATGATGATGGTACTCATCAGCATCAACATCATCAACAGCGTCATCATCATCAACATCCTGATCCGCATCATCATCATCAACAACAACATCAGCACCATCAGCACCATCATCCTCGCCCGCATCATAATCATCATCATCATCATCAGCATCATCATCATCATCACCATCAACATCACCACCATCACTACCATCACCATCGTCATCAGCAGCATCGTCATCACCATCACCATCACCATCACCACCGCCACAATCATCATCAGCAGCATCGTCATCGTCATCGGCATTACCCTCATCATCATTATCAGCATCATTCCCAGCATCAGCATCATCATCAACATCGTTATCATCATCGTCATCATCATCATCATCATCATCATCATCGTCGCCATCGCCATCGTTATTTTCATCAACATCCTCATAACGATCACAACCATAACTTAGATCAGCATCAGCATCATTAACATCATCATCATCACCAGCACCCTCACCCTCACCCTCACCATCACCATCATCATCATCACCATCATCATCATCGACATCATCATCATCATCATCATCATCATCATCATCATCATCATCATCATCATAGTCTCCATTCTCCTCATCCGCATCCTCATCCTCTTCCTCATAATCCTCATCATTATATTCACAATCTTCATCATCATCAGCAACAGCATCAGCAGCAGCAGCAGCATCAGCATCAGTATCAGCATCAGCATCACCATCATCATGCTTTCCATGTCCTTCCACTGCTTGCCTCACTTCTTTCCTTCTCGTCCATCCCTCCACCACACCCTCCTCGTTCACCCTGCCCTCCTCCACCCCTCCTCATCAATCTTCTCACCCCCCACTTCCACTGTTTGCCTCCTCCTCCTCCTACCCAGCCGTCCGCGGCGGCGCCAACCGAAAATCCGCCTGATCCGACAACAAAGCTGAGACCGTCCGAAAATGTCCGAAACCCGAGAGGCTGCAAGCAGCCCGGAGGGACGCAAGAGGAGCAGCAGCCAGTAGGACCGAACCTGCCGAACGCGACAGACTGCGAGGCAGAGACGGACGGCAAGTGCCCTTGTCCTTCCCGTCCTCCCGCTCCTCCTTCCCTTCTTGCTCCCTCGTCCTCCCTCCCGCCCCCCGCCTCCTCTTCTCTCGCTCCTCCTCCTCCTGCTCCTCCTCGTCCACCTCCTTCTCCTCCTCCTCTTCCTCCTCCTCCTCCTCCTCCTCCTCCTCCTCTTGACTGGGGGGCTATGCAAGCGGGCCCCCATACCACACGCCAACTTGGCCACAAACACCGTTCCCTACGGAGGATCGTGTAGGGATCGGACTCGAACAAAACTGTCAACACTGACAATCCGCCTTCACGGTCAAACCTATGTATAGGTCCCGCCTCGCCAGGATACGGCCTCGATATCGGCGCCGCCTCGTGTGGGCAAGCTCCTATTTGTGGCGTGGGCCGCCGCGTTGCCGCGGCAGTCTTTGGGCACGGGAACGGGCGAACGCCCCCCACACACGCGGCACACGGCATAACCTGTACTCTACACCACGTCACGTCGTCTTCACGCGGAGGGGGTGGAGAGACACGGAAAGAGACGAGGCTGGCACCACGGGCGGCTCCCTCGGCCGCGCTCCGTGCGGAGTCTAATTGCCAGTCTCCTTTGGGTAAAGTCATACTCTCGAGACGCAGCCTTCCCAAAGAACTAGAGCCGCCCCAGCAGGGACAAAGTTCTCCCTTGGCAACGCTGGCACGGCCGGCGAACTGAACGAGCCTTCAGCCTAAGGCAATCGCAGCATTGCCAGCGTCCCCCCTCGAGCAGCTAAAAAACTGGTGGCCAGGACCGCGCGGATGCAGCGGCCTCGTCCGCTTCTCCGAATACGACTGCAGGGCGGAGGGGAGGACGTGGTGGCCACCTGGCTGCTACTCAGCTCAGAGCTGAAGCTGGCAACATACCTTAACATTATTCTCTGCTGTTTAAGCGCCGCCCTAGCTGGCGTGGACCGCCAGCTGGGCGGGGCCGCTCCTCCTCTCCCTGCTCCTCCTCCTCCTCCTCCTCCTCCTGCTGCTCCTCCTCCTGCTGCTCCTCCTCCTCCGTCTGCTGCCCTTCCTCCTCCTCCTCCTCCTCCTCCTCCTCCTCCTCCTCCTCCTCCTCCTTCCCGCCGTCCTCCTCTTCCTCATCCTCTCCATCCTCTCCCTGCTCCTCTCCCTGCTCCTCTCCCTGCTCCTCTCCCTGCTCCTCCTCCTCCTCCTCCTCCTCCTCCTCCTCCCGCGTCCCTCCCCCTCCCTCCTTCGTCCTGCCCATGCGGACCCCCTTGTTCTCCTCCCATTCCTGTTCCCTCCTCTCTCGTCCCCCTCCTCCTCCTCCTCCTCCTCTCCCTCTCCCTCCTCCTCCTCCTCCTCGTCAGCCTCCTCCTCCCCCTCCTCCTCTTCCTTCGGGAGGGAGGACGTCGGGTGGACAGCAGCCAGCGGGAGGAAGAGTGCACCAACGGACGAGGAAAGCGCAGCGGAAGGCAGAGGCCTACTGGGGTGAGAGGACTGCGAGGGCAGGATGGCTGGGACGGGGGGCAGGTGGCAAGGCGAGGGGCGCGGCCTGCGTGGGCGAAGAACGAAATCCTGGCCCTCGCTAGAAACTTCCGCGCACACTGGGATCCTGCAATGTCGTGGGCGCCAGCAATTGCAAAGAGGGCAGGCTGAAGTGTTTCAACATCGCAATGCTTCTGCTGGATCTGGATCTGACGACCCGGCTCGGAAAAACAGTGTACCTTTCGACGAGGCGAGCAGGCGAGGCGAGGGGGGCAGAGGGGACAGCAAACAGGGCATGGGGTGCTTCCATAAAACCAAACAAACGAGTTGAGAGCAGGAGGTCTCATGGCTTCTGCAGCCTCCGCCGTGCATCTATCGTTTGCATATATACCTATAGCGTTTACAGATGGACAGTTCATATACAGATACGCGAATGGAGATGTCTACATGCACATGTGAATGCTTACACATACATCTGTGCGCATGCACGTAAATTGCATTATTGTGCATGTCCGCCCCACCTTTGCGGCACGAGTTGGAATGGCATCAGGTCCCTTTTATTCCCCACATTCTAAGTGGGGTTCTGATTTTCTCTACACCCGCGTCACACCCGCGTTTCCACCTCACCTCCTTCTCGCTCGTACACACACCACACCAACCACACCACATCGCACCACACCACACCACGCCACACCACACCACACCACACCACACCACACCACCCGTGTGTGGCACTTTCTCGTCACTACAGGGGGTGCGCAGGGGGTGGTCCCTGAGCTCGGCTGCGGGTGCGCAACACCACACCACACCACACCACACCACACCACACTACACAACACCACCCGTGTGTGGCACTTTCTCGTCACTACAGGGGGTGCGCAGGGGGTGGTCCCTGAGCTCGGCTGCGGGTGCGCAGGGGGGGGGGTCTCTGAGCGCGGCCGCTATCCGTGACGGTCGTCCAGGCACAGCAGGCGTGGCATTTTCTCGACACCATGGGGGATGCGCAGGGGGTGGTCCCTGAGCGCGGCCGCTATCCGTGACGGTCGTCCAGGCACAGCAGGCGTGGCACTTTCTCGACACCATAGGGGGTGCGCAGGGGGTGGTCCCTGAGCGCGGCCGCTATCCGTGACGGTCGTCCAGGCACAGCAGGCGTGGCACTTTCTCGACACCATAGGGGGTGCGCAGGGGGTGGTCCCTGAGCGCGGCCGCTATCCGTGACGGTCGTCCAGGCACAGCAGGCGTGGCACTTTCTCGACACCATGGGGGATGCGCAGGGGGTGGTCCCTGAGCGCGGCCGCTATCCGTGACGGTCGTCCAGGCACAGCAGGCGTGGCACTTTCTCGACACCATAGGGGGTGCGCAGGGGGTGGTCCCTGAGCGCGGCCGCTATCCGTGACGGTCGTCCAGGCACAGCAGGCGTGGCACTTTCTCGACACCATGGGGGGTGCGCAGGGGTGGTCCCTGAACGCGGCCGCTATCCGTGACGGTCGTCCAGGCACACAGGCGTGGCACTTTCTCGACACCATAGGGGTGCGCAGGGGTGGTCCCTGAGCGCGGCCGCTATCCGTCGTCCAGGCACAGGGCGTGGCACTTTCTCGACACCATGGGGATGCGCAGGGGGTGGTCCCTGAGCGCGGCCGCTATCCGTGACGGTCGTCCAGGCACAGCAGGCGTGGCACTTTCTCGACACCATGGGGGGTGCGGGGCAGGGTGGTGACTGGGGGGTGCGCAGGGGGTGGTCCCTGAGCGCGGCCGCTATCCGTGACGGTCGTCCAGGCACAGCAGGCACACCACACCACGCCACACCACACCACACCACACCACACCACACCACCCGTGTGTGGCACTTTCTCGTCACTACAGGGGGTGCGCAGGGGGTGGTCCCTGAGCTCGGCTGCGGGTGCGCAACACCACACCACACCACACCACACCACACCACACTACACAACACCACCCGTGTGTGGCACTTTCTCGTCACTACAGGGGGTGCGCAGGGGGTGGTCCCTGAGCTCGGCTGCGGGTGCGCAGGGGGAGGGGTCTCTGAGCGCGGCCGCTATCCGTGACGGTCGTCCAGGCACAGCAGGCGTGGCATTTTCTCGACACCATGGGGGATGCGCAGGGGGTGGTCCCTGAGCGCGGCCGCTATCCGTGACGGTCGTCCAGGCACAGCAGGCGTGGCACTTTCTCGACACCATAGGGGGTGCGCAGGGGGTGGTCCCTGAGCGCGGCCGCTATCCGTGACGGTCGTCCAGGCACAGCAGGCGTGGCATTTTCTCGACACCATAGGGGGTGCGCAGGGGGTGGTCCCTGAGCGCGGCCGCTATCCGTGACGGTCGTCCAGGCACAGCAGGCGTGGCACTTTCTCGACACCATGGGGGTGCGCAGGGGGTGGTCCCTGAGCGCGGCCGCTATCCGTGACGGTCGTCCAGGCACAGCAGGCGTGGCACTTTCTCGACACCATGGGGGATGCGCAGGGGGTGGTCCCTGAGCGCGGCCGCTATCCGTGACGGTCGTCCAGGCACAGCAGGCGTGGCACTTTCTCGACACCATGGGGGTGCGCAGGGGGTGGTCCCTGAGCGCGGCCGCTATCCGTGACGGTCGTCCAGGCACAGCAGGCGTGGCACTTTCTCGACACCATAGGGGGTGCGCAGGGGGTGGTCCCTGAGCGCGGCCGCTATCCGTGACGGTCGTCCAGGCACAGCAGGCGTGGCACTTTCTCGACACCATGGGGGATGCGCAGGGGGTGGTCCCTGAGCGCGGCCGCTATCCGTGACGGTCGTCCAGGCACAGCAGGCGTGGCACTTTCTCGACACCATAGGGGGTGCGCAGGGGGTGGTCCCTGAGCGCGGCCGCTATCCGTGACGGTCGTCCAGGCACAGCAGGCGTGGCACTTTCTCGACACCATGGGGGGTGCGCAGGGGGTGGTCCCTGAGCGCGGCCGCTATCCGTGACGGTCGTCCAGGCACAGCAGGCGTAGCCACCTCGGCTCATGCAGGCTCCGACCGTTCGGATTTCCACTGAGGCGTGCTAGCGCCGGTAACTGTCCGTCAAAGGTGCAGCGCTTGCCATGGCGCCCAAATGTGACATGTCGGCGCTGCCGCCTCCATGCGAGCAGCTCAAGAAGTCAATGCTAGAGCTGGGCGCCGAAGTGAGTGTAGAGGGTGGCTCGCTCAGCCTCGTCACCTTGGGCTCTCTTGGGGCCGTCTTGGGCAATCTCGTGGGGTATGTGGGCCATATTGAAGCGATCTTGGTACATCCTGGGAGCAGAACATGGGACGGGCATTGAGTATTGAAAGCCATGCAGTTGCCGAGGAGGAGCGGAGGAGGAGGAGGAGGAGGACGAGAGGGAGGAGGAGGAGAAGGAGGAGGAGGAGGAGGAGGAGGAGGAGGAGGAGGAGGAGGAGGAGGAGGAGGAGGGAGGAGGAGGGGAGGAAGAGGAGGAGGAGGAGGGGGAGGAGGAGGAGTTGAGAGGAGTGCGGAGGAGTTGTGCGGAGGAGGATGTGAGAGGAGTGCGGAGGGTTTGATACGATGATGGTTTCGACCTGAAAATTTTAAGAATTGAGCAAGCATGTGCGGAGGACTTGGGAGGAGGAGGAGGAGGAGGAGGAGGAGGAGGAGGAGGAGGAGGAGGAGGGGTTGAGAGGAGCACGGCGGAGCGCTATCCGCCCCGGGGTCGGAAAACGTGGCAGGCGTGACACTTTCTCGGCGCCTCAAGGGAGTGCGCAAGTGTTTGGTATACAAACACAAGAATATAAAAACAGTATGTGGGGTTCCTCGGTAGCATAATTGGGTTCTTCTGGAGCCTAAGGCTTCAATCCTGAGGTTTAGTTACAGGGTCTCCTGGGGCGCGCCGCGTGGCCCTTGGGGCCCGGGGCGTTTCCCCGCATTACTTTTCGGGCTCACGAGGGCCCCAAGACGGGTCAAGTGGGCCCCAAGAGGCCTCCTAAGACGGTCCAGGAGGGCCTTGAATCGCCGCACGATCGGTCTAAAAAGCCGAAGATCGCCCCAAGACGGCCCAATATGCACCTAAGACGCGCGAAGAAGACGCTAAGAGGCCTCCCGAGAGGACCCCAAGAAGCACAAATCACTGATTTGGCGTTCTCGACGCTGCAGGACGACCCAAGAGGCCACCAAGATCGCACCAAGATGGCCCATGAGGCCCCCAAGAGGGCCCGAAAGAAGCCCAAAACGGCCCGAACACGGCGCAAGTGGCGCCCAAGACGGCCCAAAAGGCCCCGAATACGGCTCCAACAAGGTGCTCCGACGGGGGAACCGAATGACCACTTCAAGCCCTCGGCCCCGGAATGCCCCCAGGAGGCCTCAAAAAGACCCCAAGAGGCCGCCAAGATCCGCCAAGAGGCCTCCAGGAAACCCGAAGAAGTGGTTTCCA